CTTTCATATCAGCTGTGTATCTGATAAATTGATTACCTACAAAGGTGCTCCATGGAAAGTCTCCATTTCAGGTTTTACATCATCAACCTCCTGATTATTCTATGCTAAAAGTGTTTAGTTGTGCATGCTTTTCTTTGGTGAGACCATTTAATCATCACAAGCTTGAGTATAGGTCCAAGTAATGTGTTTTTCTTGGATATAGTCCATCCCACAAAGAATATAGGTGTCTTGATGATGATGGGAGGATGTTTATTTCGAGGCATGATATTTTTGATGAAAACAAATTTCCCTATGATGCATGTAAGATGACATATTAGGAACATGTAAATTCATATGTTTCAACTTGGGAATTTCCAATTATTTTTGCTCCACAGGTTCAAACTCAGCAAGGAAATGCTAATGCTATTTCACCTATGGTTGGTGTGCAAAATGAAGAAGCTTATGATAGTCAAAATGATGATGAAATAAATAGTGAAGGAGAAATTTCAGTAGGGTCCAGTTCTGATCATGAAACGAATAGTGAAGGAGCTAGACAAGCAGGGTCAAGTTCCACCACTGCTTCAATTGGCATAACATTACCACAAACATATGTGACAGCTGGTTGTAGCTCTACCTTAAATACTCATCCTATGCAAACAAGGAGTAAGAGTGGTATATCGAAACCAAAGATTTTTCAAGCCACTGCCTGTATTGATGAAGAACCATATAGTATTAAGCAGGCTTTGGCCATTCTACATCGGAAGGATACTGTTCAAGAGGAGTATGAGGCTTTGTTGAAAAATAAAACATGGTCTCTAGTGTCATTTCCAAGTGACAGAAGGGCAGTACACTGTAAATGGTTGTTCAGAATCAAGAGGAATGCAGATGGCTCAATTGCTCGATATAAAGCAAGGTTGGTAGCCAAGGGTTTCTTCAACAACCAGATATTGACTTTCATGAAGTCTTTAGTCTTGTTGTCAAACCAGTAACTATTCGTGTCATCTTAACACTAGCCCTGTCAAAAGGATGGCAACTCAGGAAAGTTTATATAAATAATGCTTTTCTCAGTGGAGTGCTAGCAGAAGAAGTCTACATGACTCAGCCTCCTGGTTTTGAGTTTGGTGATGCTAATCTGGTTTGCAAGTTGCATAAAGCCATATATGGCTTAAAACAGGCACCACGAGCATGGTTTGACAGTTTAAGAAGCTACCTGGAATCTGAAGGCTTTGTGGTAGCCAAGTCATACTATTCTCTCTTTATTCGAAAAAGTGAGAAGTGTTTACTATATGTACTTGTATATGTTGATGATATAATTCTCACTGGCAGTAATCCAAGTGAGGTGCAGGTTGTTATTGACAAATTGCATGCAAAGTTTTCTCAAAAGGATCTGGGCACTCTAAACTTCTTCTTAGGAATTGAAGTAAAGTATGAATCAGGAGATATTGTCTTGTGCCAGCAAAAGTACATTCATGAACTGTTACATCGAAATGGATTTGAAAGTGCTAATGGTCTTCCTACCCCCATGGTTACAAACTGCAAACTTTCAGCTAAGGAAGGAAATCCAATTGAGAAAGTCACTCAATTTTGCAGCATTGTTGGAGCTCTACAGTATGTTGTGATTACTCATCCAGATATAGCCTTTGTTGTCAATCGTGTGTGTCAATTTATGCAAGCTCCTCTTGACACTCATTTTTAGGCTGTGAAGCGTATCTTGTGATACTTATAAGGGACAATTGACTTTGGTTTGCGTTTCTTGAGGTCGTCCAGACTTTCTTTGACAGGTTTTGCTGATGTAAGTTGGGGAGTAGATGTGGATGATAGACGCTCCACTTCTGGTTTTTGCATTTATTTTGGGGGAAATTTAGTTAATGGAGCTCTCAAAAACAACAGGTTGTGGCTCGATCAACAGTTGAAGCAGAATATCGAAGTGTTACATGTGAGACTGCTGAAATGGTATGGATTGAATCTTATTGAGTGAATTGCAAATTGTTCCTAATGGCAAACCTACTCTATGGTGTGACAATTTAAGTGCAATAGCAGTATGTGTTAATCCTGTTCTACACTCAAAATTTAAGCATGTGGAACTTGATCTCTTTTTCGTTCGAGAGATGATTGCAGCAGGAAAATTACAAGTTCATGAAGTTCCTACATATGAACAAATTGCAGACATCTTAACAAAACCATTGTTTGCACCCTTGTTTGTAAAGCACATACAAAAGTTGCTAATTGTGCAAGTCAAATGAGAAGGTTGAGAAGTTTACAGGTTTGAAGTTGCAAGGAAAATGTTATTGTTTATGATGAATTAGAAAGGTGCAGAGTAAAGTAGTAACAGGAATGGCAGTGTATGATGTTAGTATGTGTGATGTATGCATGGATTAGTTATACGTATGATCATGCATGTGCAATGTACGTGAGGTGGTTAGAGTTATCTTAACAAATTCTCTCTCTCTCCTCTAACGTCCTAACGTTCTTTCCTTCTCATTTTATATTTCTTAATATGATGTATAAATAGCCTGAGGCTATTGCTATAGAAGGCAAGGTTTTACAAATGAATGAAAGCAATAATTCATGGCTTTTATGTGTGTTGATTCCTAAGCTGTGTTGATACTTTAATAGCATCGAGTGGTGAGGAAAAATATGAATGAGGTCGATAAGGGTTTGTAAATTTTAATCATTCTCATATATCTAGATTTGTCCTTGATATTTAGGGTTTATAAATCTTAACATTTTATGTTCAAGAATCATATGTGAACTATGTGTTAGTTTCAAGGGCGGAACTAGGATTAAATTATGGGAGAGATCAAGTTGTCCATCTAGCTCAGTTGGTAGAGCGAAAGGCTCTTAACCTTGTGGTCGTGGGATCGAGTCCCACTGAGGGCAATTCATAACGGAGATCTTCCATGGAAGTTGTTCTCAACTTGGCGTTGAGGGTAGCCTACTATCCTACCTCTCCCTTACCTCATTACATATGGGAATAGAGTCAGCTAATCAAGTTGTTTATCTTTGAAATTAATAAGGTCCTAAAAGATAATTAAATCATAAAAATAGAGGATTGGAGCTTAATTTCACTAGTTTCAAAACTACCATGTCCCGAAAAGTAATTAAACCAAAAAAATAAGGGAAAAGAACTAATTTTATTCAACTTTGAATAGTTTTTTTTTCGATAATCAGTTGGTTTAGGTTTAAATTGGTATAGTTTCTGATTTTTAAAAGTGACATAAAAATAAATTTTTAAAAGTATAGTACAAAAGTGTAGTATAAAAGTTAATTGTTTGGGATTATTGTTAAAAAAGTGAGTTTAAAAAAATGAGTATTATAAATATTATGTTGTAAATTTAAAATGTATATTTATATTTACACTTATATATAAATTATATCAATTTAAAGCATAATAAATTCAAAACATTATTATTATTATATATGAAATATATCAATTTAAACTATAAAAATATAAAAAAATAATTGTAATAAAAAATATATTTTATATAACTCATTATTAACATTTTAATATATAAATCATGAATTTTATTTATTTTTTAAAAATAAAATAAAATATTGAAAATAATAAATTATTGTTTTAAGTATATTAGTATTAAATAATTAAAATAAAATGTAAATTCATAATTGAGTGAAGCCATGTATTAGTATGGTTAAAATTATAATTTGCTTACAAACGCAAAGTTGAAAATGAAAAAGCTATAAATCCTAACTTTTGCAGTTTGTTTGAAACTATAGTTTCTACCGTAATTGTTTTTTACTCATTTGACATTGATTTTACGGTCAAAACAATTTTTTTACCTAAAAGTATGTTTGAGACATTAAATCTCTTAAACAATGTCAGAGATTCAAATCATGATGTTTGTGAATAAATTAGGTTAAAAAAATCATCTTCAGTTCTACAACATCTAATCTAGAATAAACGATTAATGAACCAAATATCGATAATTAATTATAGTCAATATTCCTCATAATTGCATAAAATATTAGAATTTCAATGTTAAATCATATCGTTGAACTGAACATCAAGAAATCCATAAAAATCACGACAAAATCAATCCAATAGGTTAGGCGGGTAATAAATTTGACCCGTAGATGATCTCTTAAACTAATTTGGAATATATGATAAATGCAACAATGTATGGCAAACTTGTCACGTCCACATTACGGTGAGTTTTTTTAAAATGATATTTTTATTCAAACCCATCATATCAGTGAAAAATTTTAAAAATATATTTTTTATTAAATTTTTGTCAAATCAAAATGATAAGTTTATTAAAAAGTATATTTTATTGAAACTCGTCATGTTTACATGACGAATCCCAAGTCACTATAACAAATGTTATAGTTCTCAAAAATAAAATACTTGATGTTGTATTGTGTTAAATAACTATCACACCTACTATATTAGGTCACTTTTTACTAAAAATCACCGAAACCGACAATGAGAGCCATCTACTCCAATAAATGATAAAGGGTGCAAATAGTTGCCCAATTATAAAATAGTCCTCTCACTATTAAAAGTTACAAAATGATTTTTTAATTATAAGATATTACTTTATTAAGTCCATTTATTAATAAAAAAATATAAAATGGTCACCAGACTATTAATAATTTTTTAAGCTTGTCCCCTTTTTTTAAACATCATCTGAGCTGAACGTTAATCTATTAAGTGAGATGTGATAAAATCTGATCCAAAAAACATTTGAGTTGTATAATCGTTTGAGATTTTGATATTAGATTTTATTATATATCAGCCAACATGTTAATGTTGATCTTAAATTGTAGTCAATTTTTAAATAAAATAGGACGAGTTTAGAACATGTCAATATTCGAATGATCATTTTGCAACTTTTAATAGTCAGGGACTAAGAAAAGCAGCACCCTACAATTGGTGAATCACTTTGTAGCTTTTAATAATTGAGGGACTCAACAAGAGACACCATATAGTAGGGGGCCATTTGTGTACTTTACCCAAGGATAAATCACACCTTCTGGTTTAGTTTTGGCGATAAACCCTCTCCTCGTCTGTCCCGCCTGCCATCCCTTATCCTTTCAATTCTCCCTTCTCTCTCCGATTCTTCACTCAAAAATGTCTTCTTTAACAAGATCCATTCCCATGGCAGACTGTTGTTTCCTCGTTTCTCTCCCTTCGCTCTTCACCTCACGCTCCAAACGCTCAACTCTCCTCCCCTTTCCCCCAAAACCCATAAATTTTTTCCTCTCATCTTCCCGTTCTTCATCCTCTTCGACCCTCAAATCCAAAACCCATTTCCCATCCCTAGTTCCCTTCGTCGCCCAGGCTTCAGACTGGGCCCAGAAAGGGGAAGAAAATGACCCCACCATTGCCATTGGTGAAGAAGAGGAACCCAAATGGGAAAACGATGAAAGCGATGGGCCTGAAGCAAGCTGGGGAGCTGAAGAACAAAGTGTTGATTCAGAAGAAGAGGTTTCTGAACCTCCTGAGGAAGCTAAATTGTTCGTTGGGAATTTGCCCTTTGATGTTGATAGTCAGAGTTTAGCTATGCTCTTTGAGAAAGCCGGAACCGTTGAAATTGCTGAGGTCTCTAAGAGAAATTTTCATTTTCCCTGATTTTAAACTACTTGAAAATTCTTCTTTTAAACTGTCGTTGATGATTTTGTTTCCTTCTGGTTGCAGGTTATTTACAATAGAGAAACTGAGCAAAGCCGTGGATTCGGGTTCGTATCGATGAGTTCAATCAAGGAAGCCGAGAAGGCTGTTGATCTATTTAATCGTTATGTAAGTTGTCTTCTTCATATCAATGAACATTGAATGCTTTGTCCATGCAAGAGGAATTCTCTTTGGGAGTAAACATAACCTGTGATTCGAATAGCTTATGTTACTTGGATTCGGATTCAAATGTCGGTTACTATTATGTATTTGACATTATTATGTTGAATTTTTATAAGCTATGCTAGTGGGAGATTGCTACATTTGCTTTATGCTGATAATTTCGGTTAAGTACGAGACCTACTCGTTGTACTTGGAAAGCTAAAATTAAACCTCTTACTTTCTCAATTCGAAATTTCTAATTAGTATCATTGATACCGAAAATTTCGAACTTGGCATGCTTATTTTCTGTTAATCATATGTCACATTGGCAAATTTTGAAAGATAATATTAGCAAAGCTAATGGTTGGATTAGGATTTAAAATCAAAGAAGCAAGAGGACTTAATTTTCAATCTTTTAAGCATATAGGACTAAATCTCAAACTTTGTCGAATTACCGGGACTGACAGCTTATTTTGGTAAACTTTGACCTTCTGGTGAATTTTCATTAGGTTGCTAAACAATATATTTCTTGAAGTTTTCGTTTTCTCTTTCCTGTAATCCCTTGGTCTCAAATTTACTATACATTAAAAGTGTGATAGATGAATAGAATAGTTGCAGATGGGGAATGGCAGCAAGACCGTTTTATCGACAAAAAGTTGTCGATTTTACTTTTTTTTAGATGCATTTGTTGTTGTGTACCAAAGATTCTTGTGAAAATTTTGCATTTATTAGTTTGATTTGGGAGCCATTAATAGATGCTTGCAAGAGCCAAGTTAAATTCGGGTCGAATTCCGGATATCCTAGATGTCACTTAGATTTAATTGCATAACCCGAGTTAGGCTTCAAGTTGTCTTTCACTTTCTTTTTATGTCCGGAAAGTAATGAGAGACTTGGTATATATTGATCTCCGAGTGTTCTTTTCGATTTTCTTTGCTTTGTCGACTAATGTTAACTATGAAGCTTTTGGTGCTCGTACTTAGTCATTGTTGCTTTCGTGTTTTTAAACAGGATCTCAATGGAAGGCTCTTGACTGTTAATAAGTCTGCTCCTAGAGGATCACGTTTAGACCGACCCCCTCGTGTTTTCGAAACTGCATTTAGACTCTATGTTGGTAACCTTCCATGGGATGTTGATAATGCTCGACTGGAGCAGGTATTCAGTGAACATGGTAAGGTAGTCGAGGCTCGTGTAGTGTATGACAGGGAGAGTGGCCGATCACGTGGTTTCGGTTTTGTCACTATGTCCTCAGAGACCGAATTGAATGATGCCATCGCTGCTCTCGACGGACAGGTATTATTTCAAATGAAATCTAATATCCGTATCTATCCGAAATTTACACCCGAGCTCGAGTAACGTCTCGTATTATTATTGCAGAGCCTGGATGGAAGAGCCATAAGAGTGAATGTAGCAGAGGAAAGACCAAGGCGAGGCTTCTTTTGATCTTCAGATGATGATTTTAGTTTTAGCTTTTGCCATTAATTTCAAAAGATTTGCTTGGATGAGTCTATTTATGCACTTTTTGCCCTTGAGAAAACTATTTTTGTTATAATTTTGTTTAATTTTGATCACCGAAATTTGAAGAAGTTAACGTTTCAACCAAATAATACAGATTTTTTATAATCAAAATCGAACAAAATTGAAACTAGAGTGACCAATAAGGAAATTTATCCAAAAATAAGGGAACATTTACACAAGATCTGCAATTCGGGAAATGCAATGTTTGATCATTATATTCTGTACAATAAGGTAATCAATATCTAATGACTTTCAAACAAGCTGCATAAGAGATGAACGTTTCCGATCTCAATAACCCCTCAACTGAGCATCGCGACTGGTTAACGGAACATACCGGACCGATGTCTCAGTTCGGATACTAATCGAACCATCCAGATCTTTATCCACCACTTTCAAGTCTTGGAACATGTTTCCTACAGGAATTACCATTCGACCACCCGGCTTCAGTTGATCAAGGAGAGGCTGAGGTATTTCTGGTGCTGCTGCCCCGACATGTATGGCATCATACGGTGCACATTCTGGCCAGCCTTGTCTTCCATCTATAATAAAATGTACGTGGCCAAAGCATCAGTCATAAGCATTCAACAAAACAGGCAGCGAGCTATTGTGATAAAACCGAAAGCATATAGCAAGTAATTGAGTACATACCGCCGGTATGGAGTGAAAGAGAACCTTCTTTCAACAATGGAGCTGCAACACTTTTTTCGATATTTTGTATGGAAGAAGCAACCAATTCGGGAATATGTTCCACACCGACAGCACGACCGTGTGGTCCAACCATTATTGCAAAGCAAGCAGTCAAGTATCCAGTTCCTATAGTACAGATGCAAGACCAAAATAAAAACCTGTCTTTAAAAAATTAGGAGGAAAAAAGAATGGACTGCTGATCGATTTACTGAACTCTTCTGGAATGCTGGAACTAGATGATGCCATCGAGTCTAGCAACTCGACCCCTTTCTTGATGGCCATTGACAGAGTGAGATTTACCCAGAGAGAGTAAATGCAGCACATTTAGCATTCCAGCATTCCATCCGAGTTATACATAAGAAAGAAACTGAAGATGTTCGGAAAATACATGATTGTATCGAAAAAAATTGTGGAATGCAAAGAGACCTGAGCCAACATCTAATGCGTGCATGCCGGGCTGCAAATTTTCCTCCAATAATTGAAGACAGGTAGCATGCATATGAGGTGCGGAAATGGTGGCATTGTAACCTATTGGCATCGGACTATCAACATAAGCCAATGTTCCATCTGGTACAAATACCGCCCTATCGATAGTCTCCATCACTTCAGCAACCTTCATCGATGAAATCACTCCATAACGCTGCAAATGCTCGACCATTTGTTTGTTCTTGTTGATCCCACTTCCACTCCAAAAGCGCTACAAACAATCCGACAGAAAAAATCAAGCACAAAATCACTATCGAATCCAACGAAACAACACCGAACAACATAAGGGTCTCTCAAATTCTCAAGGTAAGTCCAAAACAAAAACTAAGCAGCCTCCGACATAGAAGCTGGGCAGTCACAGGCTGAGTTCATCTATCCAAAGTCCAAAATCTCCATATATTTTTAATTATTTTCTTTGTATTTTCTATTGATGATCATGAAATTTTACAATTTAGACCCTAAATTTCTAATATAACCTCTTAAATTCGCACATAAACATTCCGTCCCTTGCTTGAAATCCTAACCTTCTTGAAAGACCAGCACAACAAAGATCAAATTGCACAATATGTTGATTCACTCCCCATATTATGAGTACCCCACAGTATACAAGCAGGTTTTCCTTATAATTCAAGCTTTTACCATAAAATTTCACTAAAAGGCCAGCACAACAAAGATCAAATTGCACAATATGTTGATTCACTCCCCATATTATGAGTACCCCACAGTATACAAGCAGGTTTTCCTTATAATTCAAGCTTTTACCATAAAAATTTCACTAAAAGACCAGCACAACAAGATCAAATTGCACAATATGTTGATTCACTCCCATATTATGAGTACCCCACAGTATACAAGCAGGTTTTCCTTATAATTCAAGCTTTTACCATAAAAATTTCACTAAAACAACAACAAATTCATCATTTCTGGAGAACCCAAAACCAAAGATCAAGTAAGGAAACAAACATGATCAAAGAGAAGAAAAGAAACCCAGAAAGAAAACATGAAAAAAAGGGGTACCTCCATCCTGAAGAAGAGACAGTTACCCGTGAGGAGAAGGCTGAAGTTAGGGAGCTTGAGATTGTTAAAGGAGAGAGGGCGAGGTTGAAGATGGTGATGGTGATGACGAGGATTGAGGAAGGTAGTGTAGCTTAAGAGTTGCTTTATTGGTGGCGTACAATAGCGGCATCCATACGCTATTACTGTGGATAGATTCATCATTTTTTTGGATTTCTTTTTCTTTATTCCATTTTCAATGACTTTCTCGCCCTTTCTCTCACTTTCGTCCATTAATAAATACACTTGTCGTCTCCACCTCTGCTCTCTTGGTCATGACTGTTGCCCACCGAATCAGCTCATCTTTTCTGCATGGATACCATAACTTTTGGGCCTCAATTCTATTGTAGCCCAAAGTTTAGGGTAATCTTGTTAAGTAATTATGGACCGACACAAGACCCGGATTTAATAAATTTTGATTTAATTTGATTTTATAAGATTAAATTTTATTAAAAAAAATAAATTTAAATTAAATAAAATCTCTTTAAATTTAAATCGAACTTAGCAAGCTAAAATCCTGATCAGACCGACTTATGCACATCTATAATATTATAAAAGATAAGACATCAAATCACAACCATATGAACTTAAATGTCGATTCGGATATATTTTTTTTCTATAAATTTGGGATAAATATAATGTAATATATGTTTAAATATTTTTAATCATTTAATAATAAATTTTTATAGTCTTACACATGTAATGCTTATACCTACTTTAAAAAAAATAATTATTATTTAATTATTAAAATCGATTGATTCGTGTTACTTAAGATATCTTAATACAATTTACTTATAATGTATCTATGTAATATGAATTACAATTGACACATTAATAAATGGTTTGATTATATAACTAATTTCCAAAAGTATTACGTTTTTCATGAATATGTGTTTAAATTATTTTTTGAATGATTTTTGTGCCTGATATAACAAACGTTATCATTTTAGGTGTCTGGATTGTTAATGATATTAATTACCTCCGTTAAAAGGCACGTGTCACAACCTATTAATTTTAAAAGTTTTATTTAAAATTTTAAAAAATAAAATTATATTTAAAAGACACAAAAATATTGAAATAACCTCAAAACTTTTAAAAAAAATCATTTTAACCCTAAACCCAAGCCAACTACATCTTTTCTGTCGACGAAGCTTCACATGACATTACCTCCCCCGACAACCAAAATCCCTATGAAATCGTGATCGCTTGACGACCGGTCAACGATGAATTAACATTTTATACCCTGCGAACCCTATGATGAAAATCGTGATCCCATGCGATTTTGGCAGTTAATTGGCTACAACTACGGCGACGTATGACTAGGAGGATAGAAGGGACTACGTCAAAGGTGTTGATTGTGGACGAAAAGGTAAATGAAAATGGATTAGGGTTAATATTTAGGTATTTTAAAGATTTTACGATTTTTTTGTAATTTAAGAAAAAAATACCGTTTTTTATAAAATAAGTAATATATTTAATATCTTTTAAAAAATAAATTTTAAAATTATCATATTGTGATGCATTAACGGAATAAATTAACATAATTAACGATAAAGTAATAACGTTTGTATTGTTATGCATTAAAATCATTCATAAAACAAATTAAATTTATATTCGTGATAAGCGCAATAATTTGTACACTTATTTTATATTTAATTCATAATAAATTAGATACGAATGCTAGGTAATGATTTTTTTTAGTAAACGGCATCGTTTTAAGAACAGGTTTGAGTCTCACTAAACCTTGGAAACCCATAAAGTCTGAAGCGCCTTCCTCCTCAAAACCCTTTTTCACCACCGCATCGAACCAGCCATCAATAAAGCTAACTTATGCATCCCTATCCCCAATTTTTTCCAGTTTAAAGCTCAATTCTTTCACCATTATTCTTCACGAAAATGGCGAATCTTATGCATAAACTCTTCAAGAACAAATCCACTCAAAGGCTCATCGTCTCTTTGAAATCCCAACAACTCCCTACAGTCAGTCCTTCACTTATTCCCCACCATGTTTCATTAACCAAACCAGATTCCTTCAACGACCCAAGTTTTTTCCTCAATCCCAAACCCCTAAAAGATGTTATTTTTACTCAACCTTTGAAGTTTTACCCCAATTTCCCATTTGGGTATTTGTTGAATCCCATTGGCTCAATTGGGTTTGATCCATTAATGGCAATGGAGATCGAGGAGGGGACAACGGAGACCGAAGATGATGCCGGAAAACTTTGGGCTGATAGTGTGAAGAAGAAGAGGAAGAAGAAGATGAACAAGCACAAGTACAAGAAGCTGAGGAAGCGTCTGAGAAGAAAGACATAGGCTTTCTCTATGATGGGGATGTTGTATTATTTTCCTTTGATTTTTTTGAAAGATTTTGGAATTAGTTGATGGACAAATCTTGAATTGATGAATTTGATGTCTTTTGGCAATAATTAGCTGGATTAAAAACACACAATTAACATAAGCTTTGCTTATTTTCTTGTGTTGGGAGTTTACTTGATTGTCTAAATTGTCAACTTTTGAATGAAATGAGTGTTGTTATGGTAAAGATGTTTAGATATTCACTGGGAAAGTGCAAGAAGATTATACAAGGCAAATCATTCTCAAATGTTGTTTTCTGATGCTTTTAGTAATCTGAGGGTCTTGAGTTGATTTCGATTATTTACACGTTTCTCACTCACTTTGATTTACATATATTCATTGTGACAATGATATTCTGTTGTCGATTATCAATTTTTGAATGAAATGAGTGATTCTTTGGTAAGGATGGTTTGGTTTTTCACTAGGAAAGAAAAAGAAGAGTATATTAGGCAAAATGATTCTCATTTATTATTGTTTTCTCGAGTGT